GGCAGCGCTGATAGTGGTACTTCAAGCCATAAATGCTGGGGAACTCCAGCCAACAGCCTGAATTGGGACATTTCACCCTGGAGTGGGCTTTGAACTCATCCTTCCACTGGTTCATCAGGGGGAGCTGGCAACAAGAGAGACAAGAGAAATAGCTGAATAAAGAGAATCGCGTGTCCGGGTGCGTGCCAGTGCATCCCGAGGGGGCTGGTGGGGGCAGACGGGATCATTCCTGTCCACCCCCTCCCACTCTGCGGTCACAAAGTGGATCCCAGGACTGTTTCAGGGTACAGATGCTCCCTCCAGCAAAAGGTGCTGGGACAGACGCTGCAAGCTCTACAGGTTAATGATTCCTCCTGAGACTTTACCCTACTGTGCCTCCCAGAGCACACGCATGCTCCCGGCCAGGCTGAGGAATAAATCAGACCAGAAGTCACCTGGGTGATTTAACCACCCCACATTTCATCTAGTCAGTAAATCACACTGTGCCCATGCTCTCATGACAAACTGCTCCATGTGTTGTCCACGCTACCACGTGGGAATTAAAACTGCACAACTCTGTGGGGAATAAATCACCCCGTTGTCGGTGCTGCCAGATCGTTAGCCAGACCTGACACTGCTGCGAAAGAACCCAGCTCATCTGGGCACAGCCCTGGGAAGGGGACACCAGAGGGGGGTCCTGTATCCTAACCAGAGTTTTGGAGGATGCTGGATGCCTACGTGGAGAGGATCTTGCTCAGGACAAGGCTGTTCTGAAGATGAAACCACCAGGAAGGCAGGTTTAACCCCAGAGCACAGGACAAGACCTGGAGGGCAAGCCAGAGGGAGCGAGGCAGGGAGGGCACGGGGGGATTGGAGGGCGCGGGGTCTTACAGGGATGTCTTTCAGTGCCTGGTTCTCGGCCTTAGGTCGTCCTTTCTTCCTGCCTTCGGTTTTGTCACTGGTCGCATTTCCTGAAAACAGATGTGGCGCACGTCAACCACAGGCTGTGGGGGCTGCCTCGGCCCCGGGCTGCTGCGTTCCCGCCCCAGCAAGGATGGAGATTGCCCTTCGGAAGGCAACGCCTGCTCCCCTGCAATTCAGTGCACAGCCCCCACACCTGCATGGAAGAGGGCGGCTTCTCCTGGTCTTTGTGGGCCCCTCTCATTCAGACAGAGCAGTTTCAGCACAGCTGGGGTTTGCTTTGGAAAACTGTCCTTCCACTCAAGTTGGAAGAAATCCTTCAGAAACTACATTGCTCGGCCAAAGAAATCTGCGCCTAGGTCAACACGCTGGGCCCCGGGCAAGCTGCGGAGCACAGAAATCCTCCACCCTCTTGGCACAGCCAGGGTGGCCAAGCAGCCTCCAAAGCCTGGGGATGCAACGAGCACATGGGGAGCAACAGGGATGGGGATAGTCAGGGGGTGAGGACAGGGCAAGGCAGTGCTTGGGGCACTCAAGTGGGGAGGAGAAGTTGTGGTGACGGTTCTAGGAGGGGTCACAGCTCTGTGTGTGCTCAGAGCAGATTCCTGAAGCACCCTGAGCACGGGCTGGATGCCGGAGGGGCAGAAACCTGACCATTTCAACCAGGCATGAGTCTCCAACATTGGGGTACATCAAATCCAAGCACGTTAAACTGCCGAGCCCCAGACGAGACACTTCAGCTCATGATGGCCGCAAACTCCCGGGTTTCACCTACTTCACACCCAAAACGGATAGAGCAAAGTGGCACAAACATCAGGACAGCTTTCCCTGGGGTTTGCATGCAGGGGCTGAGGGCAGTTCACCAAATCGATCCACTTCCACATCCAACCAGTGGTCACTCCGAGCAGGAACAGCTCCCGAGAAACCAGAGCTGAGCTCCAATCCTGGCTGAACGCAGAACCCGATCCAGGATTCTTTCAGAACAAGGGAGTGAGATCAAACAGAAAGCCCACAGTCACCTACAAACACACTGTCAAAATCACACACTCTCTCCCTTTTCATGCCTTCTGCCCCAGCAGCCAGGGGCAAAATAGCAAACAAGACATTTGGCTCATGTATTTCCAGTTCCCTGAAGTCAGGCCAGCTGGTTTGCTCCACTGTGATACCCACGAAAGCATCCCCGGGTGATGCAGCATCCTTTGGGAATCCCTCTATTCCAGAAGGCCTCGTCTGCAGGAGGTGATGACCTTTATGGACTTTAAGAAAAAGTCCCTAAAAAACCACTTCATCACCCCAAAGACGTCAACACTACCAGACATTCCCACCTCCAGCACCTTCTCAGGGAGAGCAATGAAATATCATCACCACAGAGCATCCCTCACTCTATCGCTTTTAGTTTCTCTAAACTAGAAGGGCTGAAAAAAAAAAGATGACTTTTCTACTTTTGAATGCGCTGATGAGATGTGGCGCAGGGAAAAAACACGCTGCTGAACGCAGGTATGTTCACACTGCAGACAGCTGGAGCTCATTCCCCTCAGCAATAAATTACACCCCTCTGCTAGCAATTACAGCTTCAACCTCAAGGGAAGAGCAGCATTTGGGAAACATTTAGGGCACACGCTTTTCCCCGCCAGGCCACGGATTTTGGGTGCCTGGTCTGAGCCACATCTCTGGGGTCTGACCCTCGCCTGGGGTGCAGTTACCTCTTGGTTTCTAGGACAAGGGGAAGGCAGCGGGAGCCTCTCCACGCCCGCAGAGGGGATCAGCGCAGCATCATCAGACAGGAGAGAAAAAACCAAACCTCCTTGGGCCTGGAGATGCCTGGATAGAGAAATCAGCTATCCATCAGAGTGACAGCCCTTAGCAAGCAGGTCCCGGGGGCCGTGACACGGGAGACAGCAGATGGTCTGAACTCGTTTAAGCCTTTCCATCCTTTGATGTCACACTCAACTCCCAACACGATCTATCGGCGGCGAGACACCCATCTCGTTAAGCCAGGCGCACGCCTCTCGGAAGGGAGAGAACCGTCTCCATCCCTCCCCTCCTGCTCGTGGCGACCAGTTCTGCACAGCTCTGAGGCTTTTCTGGCCCAGCACAGCCCTCGCCGGGGGCTCGAAGCGAGGAGTCGAGACGCGCTGAACAAACCCCGATGTGCTTTCAGCCGCACATTTCGACAGCCGACCCCTCGGCTTGTCCCCTCCATCTCCGCAGAAAGAAAAAGTCAGCTCCTTACCGAGCTTGGGCAGCTCCGCCGGCGAGTTTATCCTTGTCTCTGTCCTGCTTTCTTTGCTGGCAGCGGGTTTGTTAGAGCCTCCAGTTTTCCTTCCACCTTTGCAGGTATAGGAATCCGCCATCTCTGAAAGAAGCAGGGGAAGGCGTTAAAATTCACTCCTCGGAGCTGGGAGCGACACATGCTGAAAGCAAGGAGAGCTGCCGGGGAGGGAAATCAGAAAACTATCATCCAGCCTAAAGGTTCCCCACAAAGAGAAGAAACAGGACACGTTTCCGAGTATTTTTTCTATGGCTGAGAGATGCCACAGACGTGGCTGAAAAGCTGCTTTCATTACAGGCTGGTTTCTCCTCCACATACAACGGCAAAGACTTTATTAAAAATTATAGGTTTACTTTGCCCAGAGAAGTAGCAAATAAATGGCTTTTCCTCTTTACTTATTTCTCCTCTTTCATTTAAGACACCAAAAGGAAAAATTAAAAAAAAAAAAGGGAGTTTTAATGAAGAGATGTGGTGATAAATTTCCAATTTTCCTTATTAATGGGAAACCGTTATAAACTGAGAATTGTTAACGTTATCTGAATTTTCTGTATTAATAATTCAATTTGGCTTCTCCTCTATAAATAATGAGCACCAAGAATTATCGCAGAAGGCCCAATCTCGCTCTCGACGGACATGGGCGGCAGGAGGAGGACACCCCTCTGCTTCGGCGCTCCCGGGACAAAAGCCAAGACGCATCTGAGGACGGGAGATGCCGCGTACAACCCTGGGGGAGAGGATTTCCTCGAGCCTCCACAACGAGACCGTTACGCCCTCAGCGAGCAATTTGCCAGACCACCACGACCTCCAGACCTTGGTCAGCTCCGGCGGCGTGACTCAGGGAAGAGCCACCCGACTCCTTCTTCAATTTCACTCAACACTTCTCTCCCACGCACGAAGGGTTTGTGTTTTTTTTAAAAACACGGGTTTGACTCATCACCCCCAATTCCTCCCACAGGATCACGTTTAGCGGTGGTTAATTCAAGCAGATTGATGCCCCGAGCACCCGGACTCATCTCACATCTCCCCAGAGGGATGGTGTGGGTCAGGGGAGCATCTCCCATCGAAGCAAGGGTCCAAGAGTCCTTCCCGATGTGCCCCCGGGGGCTTTTTTTCCGCGATGGATCGGACGCTGCGGGTCGTGAGCAGCCCAGATGCTCCAAGAAGAACTGGCAAAAAGCTTCCGGCACGTGTTCGGCTGGTGACACATATGTGGTTGTTGCACGGACACAAAGGTTAATCGGCTCAAGTGAGAAATTCCAGCCTTGGCAACAGGTTCTCTGGCATTTGGTGCTGAACACAGGGATCGTTTATTCAGCTAATTTGGGCTCTATCGGTCGGAGACCTGGGCAGGAGCTGCAGCCTGACTGCCAGTGGCTCCTTGCTGGGAACTAACGTGACGGTTCCCCTCCTTCCTGAGTTGCCTCCTGGCATCTCTGAGCGATCCTCAGTCAAGCTGCTCAAAAAAACCCCCCCAAAAACAGGAGAAAAAAGAAAAAAAACCCACCTCACGGAAGACCAGTAAACTGGAAGCTGAAGACTATACAATCTGTGCACGTTACAACAGGGTGAAAACCAAGGGGAAAACCACACAACTGATGCATTTATCCAACCCGGGCTGGATGCAGCCGCGCTGTGGCGTTGTCCTTTGGGATGGGAACACGTCCCAGGGCGAGAGGGCCGCCAAGCTGAACAACACCCACTGGCACGCTCATACGGGTGACAAACCACGAAATCTCCGTGTCTGCCTTGCTGGGTAGCTCGAGGGTGACTCGGGAAGGGCAAGGCACAGGGCAGTCCTCGCCGACAGCCGAGCTGCCCGGCTCCCGCTCGCTGAACACCCCACAGGAGCATCCATGAAACCGTGGCTGCCGGGGCTGGTGCTGAGTATCCCTTCCGAAACCATCACCACGTTCAAGGTGCCGCCCTCCAATGCTTTTTGTTCCCCTTCACATATCTGTCCCCTCAAAGGGATCCTTTCCGGCCAGCTTAGGAGGTTTTGATCATCTTTTGTTTTTTCCACACCAAGCGCTTCTTTGAAATCTTTCCCCCCTTCTTACTTTTTGGCAAAGTGAAAAATGAAAAACTCATAAACCCACTTAGCGAGAAGGAAACTCCACTCCCCGGCCACAGACACAACCCCAGCGATCCCAGAGGAATTGCCCCGGAGCCAGAGAGCAAAAAATCAGCCCATTGTTGCTTTTTTCGTAATGTCCAAACTTCTCATTCATTTTTGAGTAACACACACTGCAACTGGGAAACGGCCCGCGCCCTTTCACGCTTCCATTATGGTTTTGGTGAAAACTCTTTCGCAACCAGCAACGGGAGAAGACAATATCGGCAGGTCCTGCCTGTGAGCGGGGCTGGGACGCAACGTGGGAAGGTCAGTGCTGGCAACATCTTCCCTAATGAGAAGCCTCCAGCTCCACGTTAGGCACCTTTTTAGAAGATCGTGGCAGCATTTTTGAAGCGTCCCACTGCAGATTCAAGGAGAAAAAAACCACAACAAAACCCCTGCGCCCACGCAGGAGCCAGCACAGAATGAG